TAATTTGCCAAATTCAATTAACATTTGTTGAGCACCTGTCCTAAACTGTGCCCTTTGCTAAGCATTTTCACATAATTTATCCCATTTAACTCTCATATCACCATAGGAAAAATATTTATTATATTTATAAATATATTTATATTTATATATTATATATGTAATATATAAATATGTTAGATTATTTCATTACACAATCATCTAATCCTGTATATATTACTATATGTAATTAATAATATTACTATTGTAATTAATACATATATTACATGTACATATATTACTATATGTAATTAATTAAATTAATTGCTATAGGTATTAAATATATAAAATGTATTAGTAGATTATTTCATTACACAATCATCTAATCTTATATACACTGTCTTATTTTAGGGAACTAGTAACTTTAAAATTTTTCCAGGTCTATGTGGCTCAATCGATTAAACGTCTGCCTTCAGCTCAGGTCACAATCCCGGGGTCCTGGGATGGAGCCCCGCATTCGGCTCTCTGCTTGGCAGAGAGCCTGCTTCTCTCTCTCCCTCTGCCTACTTGTGCTCTCTCTCTCTGTGTGTGTGTGTCAAATATATAAATAAAATCTTTGAAATAAATAAAATAAAATTTTTCCAGATGAGGGGCACCTGACTACCTCAGTCAGTAAAGCATGCAACTCTTGATTTCAGGGTTCTAAGTTCAAGCCCCACATTGGGTATGGAGATTACTTAAACATAAAATCTTCAAAAAAAATTTTTTTGCCAGGTGATTCTAATGTGCACTCAAGGTTAATTGAAAGTCACTGGTATTGCACAATGGCTGACATGTAGCAAGTAATAAATATTTGACTACTGAGTGAAAGGATATTTAGAGGGGCTTCTGAGTGGCTCAGTTGGCCAAGCATCTGATTAAGTCTGTTAAGCATTGCTTTCTGCTCAGGTCATGATCTTGGGGTCATGATCTTAGGATTGTGAGATCAAGCCCTACCTCAGGCTCTGTACTGGTTGTGGAGCCTGCTTAAGATTCTCTATCTTCCTCTCTGCCCCTTCCCCAGTTTGCTTGAAATCTTTCTCTCTCTAAAAAAAATAAATAAAATTCAAATTTTAAAAAAGGACATTTAGATACTCTTTTTACTGATGAGGTCAAGTAACTGTCCAAGGTTACACAGCTAATAAATGGTGGAACAAGAGTCCAAGTCCAGTCTAGACACTAAGCCCCAAGTGTTTTCTATGACTACATCATACACCGAGGCAAACAGCATTTAGCACACTAGTACAGCAGCTATTCCAGGAAACTCTGTAGCTTTTGATGACTCTACTTACAGCATCATTATGTTATGATTTATAACAGAAAGCGATCTCTTAGAGTATATTCATTGAATTGGAAACATAAAAATAGAGATTTTATTATTAACATGGGTTGGCATGTTTATGCACACCTATCTGTATCTATCTTTCCATGACCACCTGTGCACTATAAGAAGTTATTTAATTTAGCCAACATTTATTGAGCACTCATCACATCAGGCATTGCTCTCTGGGCTGTTGATGGGCTATTGCATATAGTTCTTTCAAATTTCTCACCGTCTAGGAGGAAGACAGGCCTATAAACAAACTACAATATTGCTGAGAAATGCAATATAAATATGAATGAAATACATATGTTGCCCAGAGGAAGAAAGGATTAATTCTATAGGAAGGAAATTGGGAGATGGGCAGGAAAGGCTTTATGGAATAGGCAACAGTTCAACTGAGGTAGGGCTGATTAGAACTCCTCTACATTGCCCAGCACTGCACATTATAATCATCTGTGGTACTTTTCATTTTAAAAAATATTTATTTATTTATTTATTTATTTATTTATTTATTTATTTGATTGAGAGAGAGTGCTCAAGCTGGGGGAGGGGTAGAGGGGAAGCAGACTCCCTGATGAGCAGGGAGCCCAAGGTGGGGCTCAATATCCTGACCAGGAAGATCATCACCTGAGCTGAAAGGAAAAGTCAGACGCTTAACCAACTGAGCCACCCAGGCACGCCTTCTGTGGTACTTTTTAAAATGACAATATTAGGGGTGCCTGGGTGGCTCAGTTGGTTGAGCGGCTGCCTTCGGCTCAGGTCATGATCCTGAAGTCCCGGAATTGAGTCCCGCGTCGGGCTCCCTGCTCGGCGGGGAGTCTGCTTCTCCCTCTGACCTTCTTCCCTCTCATGATCTCTCTCTACCATTCTCTCTCTCTCTCTCTCAATAAATGAATAAAAATCTTTAAAAAATAAAATAAAATAAAATAAAATGACAATACTAGGTGCAACAACATGGATGGATCTAGAAGGTATAATGCTAAGTGAAATAAGTCAGAAAAAGACAAATACCATATGATTTCATTCATATGTAGAATTTAAGAAGCAAAACAAATGAACAGAGAAAAAAGAAGTCAAACAAAAGAACAAACTCTAATATAGAGAATAAACTGATGGTTATCAGAAGGGAAGTGGGTGGAGGGATAGGTGAAGTAGATGAAATGATGATCACTGAGTAATGTATAGAATTGTTGAATCACTATATCATGCATCTGAAACGAAAGTAACATTGTATGTTAACTACACTGGAATTTAAATAAATAAATAAACCGACCAATCAATCAATCAATCAATAATTTTTAAAGATTTTACTTTTATTTATTTGACAGAGAGAAAGAGCGCGAGAGCAGGAACACAAGCAGGGGGAGTGGGAGAGAGAGAAGCAGGCTTCCCGTGGAGCAGGGAACCCGATGTGGGGCTCAATCCCAGGACCCTGGGATTATGACCTGAGCCAAAGGCAGATGCTTAACGACTGAGCCACCCAGGCACCCCAAAGTAAAGAAATTTTTAAAAGAAAGAAAAATGTGGGCGCCTGGGTGGCTCAGTTGGTTAAGCGACTGCCTTCGACTCAGGCCATGATCCTGGAGTCCCGGGATCGAGTCCCACATTGGGCTCCCTGCTCAGCAGGGAGTCTGCTTCTCCCTCTGACCCTCTTCCCTCTCGTGCTCTCTATCTCTCATTCTCTCTCTCTCAAATAAATAAAATCTTTAAAAAAAATAAAAGAAAGAAAAATGTACAAGATTTACACAAAGAAAGTTTAAAACACTTCTGAGGAACACAAGATCAAAACAAGTGTAAAAGCATCCCATTCATTCATTCATTCATTCATTCAGTAAAAACAGCACTTACTATATGCCAGGTATTTTTCTAGGCTTTGGAGATACACAACTGAACAAAACAGAGCAAATCCTTGCCATCTAGGAACTAATATTCCAGTGGATAGCAAAACCTAACATCAAAAATATGTCAATTCTCCCTAAATTAATCTATAAAGTTCACAATACCAATAAAAATGCCAGTAAGGGGGCACCTGGGTGGCTCGGTCAGTTAGGCATCTGATTTGGCTCAGGGTCCTGGTGTTGAGCCCAGTGTCAGGCTCCCTGCTCAGCGGGAATCTGCTTGTTCCTCTTCCTCTGCCCCTTCTCCCCACTCGTGCTCCCTCCCTCTCTCAAGTAAATAAAATCTTTTTTAAAATGACAGTAAGATTTTTGGGGGGGGCCAAGATATATTTAATATTATTGCAAAAATGCAAAAATGGAACATGCATCCTTGCAAAGATTCTGTAAAAAAAAAAATTGTGTTCCCAAAGTATACCTGTTTAATGTTGCCATGAAAGAATACAGAGAGCCTGTCCATGATGCCAACCTGAATGATGCATTAGAGTTATGACTCAATGTTACACTACCTATTGTTACTCCCCAAGGGGGATTATAAAAAGAACCAGATACCCCGGAAGCATGAGCCTGGAGTGGGAAGCCTGGCAAAGCCTCTGTGTCTACCTCCCAGATACTAGTTGGCCTGGATCTGCTTGACTACCCCAAAGGAAAAAAAGAAAAAAGAAAGAAAGAAAGGGAAGGAGGGAGGGAAGAAAAGAAAGGAAAAGAAAAGAAAGAGAAAAGAGAAGTAGCATAGAATATAGGACATTCAGAACCCATTATTAGGCCATCTTAGTGTTTTGTGATACTGGTTTGCATAAAATAAAGGTATGGCATAAGAATCATGTTTTGTTCTGTAAAACTCTTGGTGTCTAGACATTCTTGCCTCATTGCTTATTTAAAAAGTATAATTAGGCTTAGACCAGAAAAGGGAGTTGCTTCTAATTTTTGGCAAGTCCCTAAAATTCAGGGTCTAAATGAACAGGGAATCACAAAGTGGACAATGGTAACAGTTGCCAAAAGCAGGAAAACATAAAAAATAAAATAAAATAAAATAAAACGGCAATACTGGGTACCAGACCAATAAAATCTGAATTCCTAGAGCTGAGGCCTGGGAATCATTGTGTATATACATTAATAGATTATTTCATTATATAATCATCTAATCCTCTGTGCTGTCTTATTTTTGGAAACGAGTAGCTTTAAAACCTATATTGCACCCAGCACTGCAGTGGGATATGGATCTCCATTATGATTAACAGGCACATTCATACAGCAAGGGGGCACACTTCTGGGGAGCTTGTGAACTTGTGGAACAAGTCCAGCCATTCCTTGCCATGGAACTGAAGCCCCTGCCGCTGCCACTTTGAAATGAGCTTTGGAGGAAAGCAGTTGGGATTAGTCCATGATCCTATCAGGGAAGACACAGGTCCCTGAAAGTATGTATATTAGTTAGAGCTAGTACTCTGAGTCCTGAGTAAAAGGCCCACGCAGGAGAATGGGGGAAAGGGGAGGGCAGACGTTTTTACTATAATTAGCTTTGGGAGTAATACAGCTGGGGGAGGGAAGGGAGTACAGCCGGCAACTATTTTGAGCACGGCTCGGATTGACAGGACATGTGTGCTGGACTGTACTGATCCCAGGGCCAAGTTGCCTGCCTGTGGTGTGTGGTGTGGGGGGGGAAGGCCTGGGACAGCCATACAGACAGGCCGGACGGGGTACCAGCACCTCGACTTTTCTCCCTGGGACAGTGTCCAAACTCCGAGGGCCATAGGCCAAGCTGAGCGATGGGTGCTGAGGAGAAGGTGCTGGTCACATTGTCAGGGGGAGCCCCCTGGGGCTTCCGACTTCAGGGGGGGGCCGAGCAGAGGAAACCTTTACAGGTGTCCAAGGTAAGGGAGAGCCCCTATTATTGAGGTTTCAGGGAAAGGGGAACCCAGGGGAATTTGGGAAGAGTCACGTGGTGGCCTTTTGGGGGAGAAGTGGGAGGCTGTGAAGAAGAGGAGTGGGGGTGGCAGGTGGGCAGGTGGGCAGGTGGGCAGGGGAGCATGCTCATCTGGTGGGAGGAGTGGTTTCTGAGCACGAGCTTCTTGCAGGGGGGCTATTAGAAAAGAATTCCTGGTTTCTGGGAGCAGAAAAAAAGAAAGACTGCCTCAGTTCCCTGAGCACCACAGTAGCAGAGACCCAGTTCTGGCTGGCCATCCAGTCTTTGCTCTCCTGAGTCTGTGCCTCTACTCCAAATTCCAGGAATATAGGGAAGGTTCTAATTTTTCTTTAACTATATTCGTATGTGATGAGCCGAGGCTGTCTTACCCAGCCCAGCCCTGTCCTTCCCTGCCCTGCCTTACCCTACCCTACCTTGCCCAGGCCTTCAGTGCCCCTCTTTCCCCTCACCAGACCCTTTCTCTCATGAGGCAAGACTTTTTAGGTGCTAGGAAGGTTATGGGAAGATCTGGCCTGTCAGATGAACTGTTAATGTGTTTGGTTTCACCATGCAGGCTTAGTTTTCTCAACCATAAAATGTGGGTAATAACAATACCTACTTCACAGAACCAGTCTAAGGATTAAATGCAATGATACATATAGAGTGCTTGGCAGCATACCTAACATTTAGTAAGCACTCAATAAATGATAGCCATTACTACTATTATTATTACTTTCACATATGTACGCATGTGTGCACGCAGGGGCACACATTTACACACATGACTACAATCTCCCAGATTCTGCTGGCCTCCCTCCAATCTGGAATACTGTTCTAAAATCTTGACTGTGTAGGTAATGGCCTAGAAGAGAACTATTGGCGAGTAAAGATATGGGCCTTGAAGGGAAATCTTCAGGGGGTACAATTGCCATCTAGTATCTCCCCTCTGCAGGTCTCCCCAAGCCTCTTTATTTGGTGATTTCCCTACCTCCCCTCATGTGATGTATATTACTCCCTCTAATCTGCGCCTTCTTCCCTCTAGATAGGCCCCCTCAACTGTAGCTCTGTGTCCCTCCTCACCCTTTCATACCCTGCAAAGTATATCCTCCCCACGCATAGGTCCTTCCTGTCCTGACTCCTTTCATTCTATTCCCACTTAGAGCCCTCCCTCACCTTCAATCTCTCCTCCCAACACCTCCTCAGATCCGAAGACGGAGCCAGGCTGGCAGAGCAGGACTCCGAGAGAGGGACCAGCTTTTGGCCATCAATGGGGTCTCCTGCACCAGCCTCTCTCATGCCAGTGCCATGAGCCTCATTGATGCCTCAGGGAATCAACTGGTCCTCACGGTGCGGCGGTATGGACCCCTCCTACCCCAGCCCACCTCATCCCCCTAGCCCAGGGCTCCCAATGCCTGTTTCAGCTCTATGTCTCACTGGCCTGGCTTCAGCTACTACTAAGTACCCACTTCTGCTTGTAAGTTTGTGCTGGACTATAGATGTTTGTCTATGCCTCCCAAGGGGTTTCAGTGTATCTGCAACTAAGGGCTGGGGGCGTCAAGTGGGTATTTGAGTGTGCGGGCTTACTTCAAGCCCTTGCCTGTCTCCTCACCATCACATCTCCCTCTAAGCCCATGTCCACGCACAGCTCTTCAAGCACATTTGCCTCCTGGTTTGTCTTCAGATCCCCACTCTTCCCTGCCCATTCATTCAGCCCGTATGCCAGTCTCCTCTCTCCCTTCCTTCTCCCATCCCCTCTAGATCTCACCAGCTCTCAAGAACCCATTTCTCAAGTTCTGTCCTCTTTCCCATCCAGGGTAGAGGATGAAGGGCCTGTGCGGTCTCCATCCCCTGGTGAGCTTCAGGTGTTGTCACCCTTATCTCCACTGAGTCCTGAGCCCCCTGGCGCTCCAGTTCCCCAGCCTCTTCAGCCCGGGAGCCTCCTCTCACCCCCTGACAGTGAGGCTTACTACGGAGAGACAGACAGTGATGCCGATGGCCCTGCCACCCAGGAGAAGCCCCGTCGACCCCGCCGCAGAGGTCCCACGAGGCCCTCCCCTCCAGGAGCCCTACCTGATGAGGTCTACCTATCCGACAGCCCTGCAGAGCCAGCACCTGCCATCGCTGGTCCTCCCAGTCAGGTCGATAGCCGTGTGAGCTCCCCATCTTGGGAGGATGGGGCAACCCTTCAGCCACCCCCAGCCGAGGCCCTGCTGTTGCCCCACGGCCCCCTCCGGCCTGGCCCTCATCTCATCCCTATGGTGGGGCCTGTTCCCCATCCGGTGGCAGAAGACCTCACTACCACCTACACCCAGAAGGCCAAGCAAGCCAGTGAGTGCCTGAACCCTTTTTTCCCTAGCCAGGATCCTTCAATCTGAGTCCTAAATCTACCCCTCCATAACCATACTTTATGCTTCCTTTGGATATAGTCCTGGGGACAAGTGGAGAAGAGTGATGAGTAGAAGGGGAAAATAATTATTCTCACAGTCCCCATTACTTTTACTGTTTGAACCAGTGTGGCAAAAGGTGTAGGTGGTTCAACCCAATCCAGGAACAGAGTGAGTCGGGAAGCTTGGAAAGGGACATGAAATCAACAAAGGGTTTGCTTGTTGTTGCTATGATTTTGCTAAGTGTCAGACAGGGTGAGGGCAGAGCACAGACATGATGCAGGGGAGTATTTGGAAGCAGGGCGGGGGTTTTTCAGTGTTAATTGCAGGCAGAGCATCAGAGATACCTTTGACATTTGTAAGTTCAGCTGGGTTCCTGGGGACTGAGAACCTGTGGAATAGTCATGAGATCCCTAGGAAGTGGTAGAGGGAGGGATCTTCGACTCCTTATCTCATGCAAGAATGTAGGCCTGGGCAGAAAACGCCAGTTCCACTTATCTCAAGCTCTTTGCTATTTTTGATGTGAGCTACAGAACAAGGTCTAAGGGCGAACTTTCTCCCTGTCCCATGCCTCTAACCCAGAGACCATTCTTGTCACCTTGAAAATCTAGGATTATACCTGTGGTTTTCATCTCTCATTCCTCCCCTCTACCATTCTGATTCCTGATCCATAGAATTTTGTGTGTCTAAGTCTGGAACAGAGGCTAAGGACATTGATAATTTGGAGTCTGACATCACTGAGAATGTCCAATATCCCACAAAGAAATTCCAGATGCATGCCCAGGATCCCATGCTTATCCCCAGTCCTCATTTTAGCACCCCTCCCTTCCTATCATGCTGGGTAAGATGGCAGTTAGTGGCTCAGGGATATTTTTAGGCAAGCAGACCTCATTGTCCAGTGGGGTGGGGTGGGGGGAAGGGTAGGCAGGTGTCCGCGTCCATCACACCGGGGCTTGTGGGGCAGCAGAGAGAAGGGAGGGGGCTAGGCTCCAAAAATAGCACAGTGAGCTCATTCAGCTGCCAGCTCTGGGGACAAGACAAAGGGGCTTTAAAAGGCATGGGGGTGGCTCAAGCTGGTCCTGCTCCAGCCAACACTGCATTTCTCAGCATGGAGACCTTTGAGCCCATCGGCCAAGAGCCCCTCAGCCAAGCCAGCTGCAACAAAGCCCCAGATCCAGCTTCTGGGCTCCAGGACCCATTCTATGCAGGTACTACCTTCCCATAGCTGAGAGAGTTCTGGGATCTGGAATGGAGGGGAAATACATCAATAGTTTAGGAAGGGATGTCTTTGGGAAAGGTCTTATTCCCTTATTCCTTCCTCCTTTTTGACTTCTTCTTCCTTCTTTTCTCAGGAGAGTTTCACTGCCCGTTTCTCAGAATGGGCTGATGCTATGGCCACATGTCAAAGGGGTTTGTGACCACATGAGCTATAGAAAACTCATGGGGAGGGAGTGTGTGTGAGAGAAGGAAGTGTGAATCTGTGAATCTGTGAATACATGAAGGCGTGTATATAGGAATCCATGGGAGAACATACGTGTGAACAAGAAAGTGTCTGTATTCATGTGTAGCTGGTGTCAAGAAAGCTTTAATAGTAATGGTTACTCACCGTGGGCCTTAGGGCTGCCGTGAGATGCTAAATTTACCTACACTATCTCATTTAGTTCTCATAGTAATCCTATGAGATAGCCATTATCATGCTCATTTACTGATGAGGAAACCTGAACTTCAGTAAAGTGAGGTAACTCTACCAAGAACCAAAAACCTGAACTGAACTCTGACTCCAGTGCCTATCTCTTATGCACAGTACTATTCTGTGGTACAAAGGTTGGGATGGGTGGAATGAAAGTCCTAATTAGAAAGGAGCTTGGTATCTTGAGTGGAAAGTGGATGGAATTTCAAGAATTTTTCAGGAGGAACTGGGGATGTAGATCAGAGAGAATCTGTGTCCAAGGCAAAGTCCTAGCAGCAGGGCAGCCTCTCCCAGTTCCTGGCCCCACCTCCCAGGACCCACATGGCATGGGAAGTCCTGCCCAGGTTCCCCTTAGTACATAGTCCCTGTGTGTCTGCCTGTTAGTAGCTGCCTGAGCTCTCTACCTAGAAGGCTGACCCCCAAAGAAGCCCACCCCACTCCCACCCCAGCTGGGCGTGGGGGATGGTGGTGGAATATATTTAGCAGTGACCTTGAGATATCCTAAAGATTTGGAGGGTTGCTTGGAGAGCAGCACTCTGGCTTTTCCTGCATCTCGGATCTGAGGCTATCCCTGGGCTGTGAGTAGCAGGGGTGTGAGGCACAGAGGAGTGCCCTGGTGGTTGGAAGGTCATTATCAGTTGTAAAATTTTGTCCAAACTGTTAGCAACAGGGTCTCTGCAGGGGGAACTCTGGGAAGGAGTATGCATGTGTGTGAAGGTATTTTGAGTGACTGCGTTTTTGTGAGGGTACATGTGTATTTATATATGTATATGTGAACTAGGGTGTATATAAGCTGGGGTATATTTGAATGAGAAAAAAAAGTGTATAGGAGAAAATATGCTCATAACTGGCCTTCACTAGACCCATATTCTTGTTGAAATATGTGGTGGGTGTTATTTCCATGAATGTGTATGATGTGGACTACATAATGCGGGTGGAATTGTGAATGAAGATCCTTCTTCCTGAGCATCCTCTGTGTCCCTATCATAGGGGTAAGAGGTGGGAAGAGGAAATAAGTCCCTAGGTTTCTGAGAAGCCCCCTAACATGGTCTCATTTTGTCTCTCCCTGAGACCTGCCTCTTCTCCCTGGCTGCCATGGGAAGTGACTGCTCTCCCCCTTCCCCACCCAGCATTGCCAGCCAGGAATGGTGGGAGGCAGGGGAAGAATGTGTGCGGGGTGGGTAAGAGCACATCTCTGGGAAGACAGAAGCAGAGTAGGTGGGAGAGAGATTAGAAGGAGAGCTGTGATCAGAGTGGTGTCAGGGAGCCAACCAGACTCTGTCTTCCCTTCAACTGTCCTTGGTCTCACCTTTCACCTACGACTCTGCCCCCAAATCAGAGGACTTTGCCACAGGCAAGAGACAGTGTGGATCAGGCCAATGAAAAAGCCAGTGGGTGGGAGGACTGCAGAAACTGGCTGGGGTGGGGCTGGGGTGAAAGCTGTGGGGAACAGGACTAGAAGAGGCTCACTGACCATTCTCCCTCCTGACCTCCTCAGAACTGCAACGGGCAGAGAGCCTCCAAGAGAAGAGTGTGAAGGAGGCCAAGACCAAATGCCGGACGATTGCATCCCTACTAACTGCAGCCCCCAATCCCCACTCCAAGGGGGTGCTTATGTTTAAGAAACGACGGCAGAGAGCCAAGAAGTACACCCTAGTGAGCTTCGGGGCTGCAGCTGGGACAGGAGCTGAGGAAGAAGACGGGGTCCCTCCCACGAGCGAGTCCGAGCTGGACGAGGAGACCTTCTCTGACGCCCGCAGCCTCACCAACCAGTGCGACTGGGACAGCCCCTATCTGGACATGGAGCTGGCCAGGCCAGGCTCAGTTGCAGCAGAGGGCCAGGGCGGGCAGCTGAGTGAGGCCTCGGGCAGAGGGGCCCAGCTCTTTGAACAGCAGCGCCAGCGCACAGCCTCTAGCACCCAGGAGCTGGCCCGGGATGGTCCAGCAGCCATACTCAATGGGCAGGGCCTGCAGTCACCACCTCGGGCCCAGAGTGCTCCTCCAGAGGCGGCTATGCTCCCATCCAGCCCTTCGCCAGCGCCTGTAGCCAGCCCCAGTCCCTTCCTCTCAGGCGGTGGAGCCCCAACCCCAGCTCCAAACATCTTTAACCGGTCAGCCAGGCCCTTCACCCCAGGCTTACAAGGGCAGCGGCCAGGTACCACTTCGGTGATTTTCCGGCCGCTAGCTCCCAAGAGGGCGAACGAAAGTCTGGGAGGCCTCAGCCCCGCCCCACCGCCCTTCCTGTCCCCTCCACAGGGGCCCACCCCTCTGCCCAGTCACGTGCCAGCCTCCGGTTCCCCCAGCACTCCACGCTCCTCGGGCCCCGTGACAGCCACAAGTTCCCTGTACATCCCAGCCCCCAATCGTCCTGTAACGCCAGGAGGAACCCCAGAGCCTCCCGCTCCCCCTAGCGCCGCTGCCATGACCTCCACCGCTTCTATCTTCCTATCGGCACCTCTGCGACCCTCTGCGCGCCCAGAGGCTCCCGCCCCAGGCCCCGGGGCACCTGAGCCCCCCAGCGCTCGGGAGCAGCGCATCTCCGTGCCCGCTGCCCGCACTGGCATCCTCCAGGAGGCCCGGCGACGGGGAACCCGGAAGCAGATGTTCCGGCCGGGAAAGGAGGAGACGAAGAACTCGCCCAACCCCGAGCTGCTATCGTTGGTGCAGAACCTGGATGAAAAACCCCGGGCCGGGGGAGCAGAATCTGGTCCAGAGGAGGATGCTCTGAGCCTCGGGGCTGAAGCCTGCAACTTCATGCAGCCACCAGGGGGCAGGAGTTACAAGACTCGGTCTCACGTGACACCTAAAACCCCGCCTCCAATGTCTCCCAAGACCCCGCCCCCAATGCCTCCTAAGACTCCACCCCCAGTGGCTCCTAAGCCCCCATCTCGAGGGTTCCTTGATGGGCTAGTGAATGGGGCGGCCCCTTCGGCTGGAATCCCTGAGCCAGCAAGGCTTCAGGGCAGGGGTGGGGAGCTGTTTGCCAAGCGGCAGAGCCGAGCAGACAGGTATGTGGTGGAAGCTACACCTAGTCCTGGCCTTAGCCTTGGCCTTGGCCCTCGGCCCAGAAGCCCTTCCCCTACACCCTCACTGCCCCCTTCCTGGAAATATTCACCCAACATTCGTGCCCCACCTCCTATTGCTTACAACCCACTGCTCTCACCCTTTTTTCCCCAGGCTGCTCGAACTCTCCCTAATAAGGCCCAATCTCAGGGTCCTCGGGCAACCCCCAAGCAGGGTATCAAGGCTCTGGATTTCATGCGGCACCAGCCCTACCAACTTAAAACTGCCATGTTCTGTTTCGATGAGGTTCCCCAGACTCCTGGCCCCACTTCCTTAGGGCCCCCCAAAACTGCCCGAGTCCAGGAGATCCGCCGATTTTCCACTCCAGCACCCCAGCCCACTGCAGAACCCCTGGCCCCCACTGTGCTTGCCCCAAGAGCAGCCACTACATTGGATGAGCCCATCTGGAGGGCAGAGCTGGCCTCAACCCCTATACTAAGCCCAGCCCCTCCTCCAGAGTCTCCCAGGGGTCTCGGGACTTCCCCCAGCTCCTGTGGCTTCCAGGTAGCCAGGCCCCGGTTCTCAGCCACCAGAACTGGATTGCAAGCTCACGTGTGGAGGCCGGGGGCAGGCCACCACTGAGCAGGGCACAGCTCCCAGGACCAAGGAGAGGTGGAGCATCCAGTTCCTAAAGTTGCTTCTCCTACCCATCCCTTGTCCTATCTCAGGCATCTGGAGGCTAACTTCCCTCCTGCCAGAGATAGTTTTGGAGTTGGTGTCCCATCTCCACCCACACCCCTCCACTGGTCTCTATTTCTCTACATTTGTGCTTTTCTGTGAGCCTCGTTTTAATGTTCAGTGAGAAGCACACAGAGAAGTTACTAGTGAGACCTCAGGCAAGAAGCTCACCATCAGGTAGGCCTCAAAGGGACTGAATTGATCTCTGCACTAAATCGCTTGCTACTCCTCACTCTCATTTCCCAAGCTTGGCTGGCATTTATCTAGACACGTATGTGTGCGTGTGTGTAGGCACAGATGTGTTCTTATGTCTGAGGCAAGAGTAGGAGGAGCGGTCTAAATAAAGACCCAATCTGGGTCTTCCCTTTGTACTGATTAAAGGGTCAGATAGCCCCTCATGGATAGTCTAGTGGGGAGGGAGAGATTGACTAGAATTAAAGACCAGTGCCTGTAGCAGCGGTACAGCATCTTGTGAAACTCACAGTTTATGAGAAGACCTGAAGGGCTGGGGCAGTTTATAAGGGCTGAGTTATAACAGCTAGACCAGGAACAGAACTAAGAATTCTATTCATCAGGGGGCGCCTGGCTGGCTCAGTCAGAGGGGCATGCGACTCTTGATCTCAGAGTTGTGAGTTAGAGTCCCACACTGGGCCGTAGAGATTACATGCATACATACATAGTTCTATTCGTCAGGATTTCAGAAAGTTAGCAACTTAAGAGGCCCATGCTGAGCTACAAGCATCCAGGAAGTGAAAAAGAAAGCCAGAAAACTTCCTCTGGAATGAAAAATCCATTGGCTTCATTGCCTCATGCACCTGAGACAGAGAGGAGGGTGAAAAGAGCCATGGTGTGGAAAGTGAGGCAGAAACCAGGAGCAGAGTGGAATGAATGAAACTGATTGAACCACAGGGAGGAACATGGGGAGGGAGAGTGCAGTGTTGGCAGACAGGAGAGTTGGGTTTCAAGAAACTCACCATGTACAACAGGGGGATTAGGGAAAAATTTGAGACAGAAGAATGCATTAGTTAAAGTGAGGACAGATGATGGTGGGGGGATGTGAGAGTGTGGGCTGAGTGCTGAAAGAATAGGTAGTGTCTGTTCTACCTCCTTTGAGTCTGTCCTTCTACCCTCTGCAGCTTGTCATGATGACCTGGGAAAGGGCAAGGAAATACCCAGAGCCATAATCTCTTTTCAGTCCAGTCCCATCCCCTGCACCCTAGCTCTTATTCCTTTCCAGCTTTGGGTCCTGATCTCTGATCCTAGATGGGTATGGACTCCCCTCTCACCATGACCACCACCAGCCAGCCACGTTTGCTGCTTGATCTGGATTGATCGTTTCCTTTGCATATTGAGTGTGAGTCACAGTACTTTGGTTTGTGCACAAGAATAAACTTATGCTCCAAACCTTCTGTTGCCATCATCTCTCGTAGTTTTATACCCAAATCCTGATTCTCCTCCCTCTTCTCTAACCCATTCCCCTGATCTCTTTCTCCATTCCTGCCCTATTCTTCACCCTTTGCCTTTCACCCCCTGGTCTTTTGCTCTTCTTTACCAGTTCTGTCCCACTCTGATTTAGCCACCTCCACCATCCCCTTTGGTTCTCTCTCCCTACATTCTCCATCCAGATTCTCCCCTTTTCTGTCTCCTGCTTCATGCTTCCCAGACAAGACCTCAATTTCGGAACCAAGAGGAGTGGAAAGGCCCTCTGAGCTTTTGCCATTATCATTTCCTAGCTCTCTGGAGGAAACGATGTTTCCATGGGAAAGCAATGCCTAAAGGTGAAGGTGGGGTGGGAGAGGGGAGGAGAAAGAGGGTGGATCAGTGTGGGTTGAGTCTAATATAGAAGAGAAGGCACCGGAGGCAGGCTAGAATTAAGAACTTCTGAGAAGGAAAGTTACTCCAGCAGGGGGCATATTTGTGCAAATAACCAGGCCCAGGACCCTGATGCTCCCAGGTAGTAGTATGGCCTCAGAATTCCAAAGGAAGGGGCCCCTGGGTGGCTCAGTCATTAAGCGTCTGCCTTCAGCTCAGGTAATGATCCCGGGGTCCTGGGATCGAGCCCTGCATCGGGCTCCCTGCTCGTC